CTATCACCTTGATGGCAGTGAATTTTACTGTATTAACGGCACACTGTGTGAATTAACAAACATAACAAATTTTTCTTTCAGGGTTTTAATACCGGTTTTCCTCCGCATGAAAAAGTTACACTTATCGAAAAAGTTATCTTTTATTAGAAAAAGAAAATTGTGAAAGGAGCATTGTGAAAGGATCGAAATTGCCCGTTTGTTTCTTTCATCGTACTTATATCCCAATGATAATCGAGTTTCTCTCAAAAGTAATTAACAAATCGGGGCAATCTAATCGTAGATTTTCCTCTAGAATTTTAAATGAGTTAGATTTTCATGATGTTTGCCACAAAGTAGTTTTAATCAAGAATTAACATTCTACTTACTTCTTATGAGCGCTTTCGGAAAAGTAAAATTTTCTTTAATTAATTATTAGGTGTTAAACTTAATTCCTGCCGTTTTTCATCTCCAAAATTGATTTGTTTCGAAGGGAAGATGAATGAATACCTTAATCAAAATAATTTCCTCCATTTTCTACTTTATTACTAATTAATAATACTTTATTAATAATACTTTGATTAAGGTATTTCCCTTCGAAACAAATCAATTTTGGAGACGAAAAACGGCAGGAATTAAATTTAACATCTAATAGTAAAATATCTAATGAATTATTTCCTAAAATGTTAAATATTTACATAATTAAAGTCATGTAATACAGCAAGATACTTTCTATCCTGTTTTTCCGAGGTAATTTTATCAGGATAGTCGACCAAGGATTACTGTGAAAGGTCTGAGACTCCACCTGCCTCTTTCGAAAGCCCCTCAGCGGGGAGAACAGCGGAGTTTCCTTTAACCGGTCATCCACAAAGTAGGGCGACCTGCCGTCGGTGACTTCAGCAAGCACCAAGATTTCAATGTCCGAAGGATAGCGTGCTCAGTAATGACATTCGTGCTGCGCTAACAATTGTAGTTGCAAATTGATGATATATCATAGCTCTTAATTAAATGAAAATTATGGGATAAAAATTATCGGGATGATTACGCAATACTTGTAAACGATATTCTTTAATGATTAGAAATGCCGAAAAATACGCCCTGATAAAAGAATGCTAAATCAGGAACGGAAGTCAGCAACGCTTATCATGCCATTATTATTATTCTTATTATTCGATAATAAGCCAATAAAAAGGCATAATTCTCTCGATAAAGGTACCAACACAATTACAAATACGAAACAAACATACACACAGTCGTTCGATCGCACTTTCATCGTCCCACTTTCTCCGTGTTGTTCGGAACGCATCGCCGGACTGACCATGCTCTTAGTGGTTTTACGAGAGAACTTTTCGTACTTCCATGGTACCTCCGTCGTCAACTGGTGATTAAAGATAGAAAACGTGTGGACGAAATCCGAGAAAGTCCCGGAATCACATCCATGTCTCTTTTATGTTAGACGCGTTACTATGTTCAAAGGATAACGATTCGAAAGGAAACTCGTTGCTGGCCGATTTGGGAAAGTCCCAACCGTAATGGCGATCAACTTTACGATCAATGTTCACTCATTTCCCTGGAATATCCTTTAATCCTTATGTATATGTATAATTTTATTTCTTTAAATAAATTTATAGAATATTTCATAATTACCGTATCATAGTTTTAATAATAGAACCTTTAAATCGAACTCTCGAAAAAATCAATACAACAATAATCGGGCGCTGAGAGTCAAAATTGCGGTAATTAATGGAAATAATATAGGATTTTTTATTCAAGTAATACTATATAACATCAGATGTTTCGGCTTATTTTCGAGCCATCTTCAGTGATCTGACTAACAATATTGAAAACCGACGAATATCCTCATGAGATAAGCCGGAGAGTGACAGCTCCCATCCCTCATATAGCAATTGTTTCAAGATATGTAAGTCTTGTGGCAACGAATAGAAGAGAATTCTGAATAATACAACAAATTGACAATAATATTAACGTATTTATTGAAAAAGGAAATGTAAAAACATAAACCACTCACCCGTAACCTCATGATGATTAATGATCACTTATAAATTACATACGACATGTCAACTTAATCTATTAAAAATCATTCCAACTTAAGTCAAACGGGCAGTCATCATATAAAGACGTTGAAAATCAAGAATACAATGTGACACAAACATTAACAATAAATATGTGTGTTGGGAGTCTGCGCAGTGTATTGAGTGTATGAGAGAAAGAGACTCCGTTAAATGGCATCGAAACGACTGATCTGAGCAAATTGACCGATTAAGTTACAGTTCTTCTTAAGATTAATTATAAAATTATTATAGCTCGGAAATATGAAAATATAAAAACTAATGTGAATTATTAAGAATAGAAACATAAGAATGATGTAAGAAATCAGTGTCTGATTGTAAGTTTAAGCTGTTTTTTTGTAATTTAATGTGTAACATCTTAGAAATACGTAGTTTGTATAGCCATCTCTCCGAATCAACTATTTCAACACTATCCCAGTCAAATTCATGATCAAAATTAATACGATGTTCGCTAACTACAGATAGAATGCCACTTATCTTACGAATGTCATTTTTGTGTTCGGTGATTCTAGTTTTTAAAGTACGTTTTGTTTGGGGGGGGGGGCCAACATAAGACGCATCACAATTTTGGCAATTAATCTTATATACAACGTTCTTTTTAAGTAAAGCAGGTAGATCCTCTTTCTGTGTTCTGATAAAACAATTAAATTTATTGAGACTGTCAAACGACAAATTTACATTTAAATTCTTTACAATGGCCTTGAATTTGCCAACTAAATTCTCAACATAAGGAATCGAAAACCATGTCTTTTCATCTATACTAATATCACTGCTATTGTCATTTGACTGTTTAAGTGTCTTTTTGTATAACAAAGATTAAGTCTTTTGTTAATAGTCTTGAAAATAAAATCCAACGGATAGTCATTCATAGAAGTGTCTCAATTACAAATATCAAATTCTTTCTATGTTAGTCTTGAAAATAAAATCCAACGGATAGTCATTCATTAGAAGTGTCTCAATTACAAATATCAAATTCTTTCT